GGCTTTCCACCTTCCATACTATGCCGTAAAATCCATTAATTGGCTGGCAGATTGGGAGAGGCTTACGGTTTTGAAACACTCGGCCGGGTCAAATCTTCCCGCAAACTCCACCGATGCACCGATACTAGTAGAGTGCTTAGTACACTTATTAGTGCTATACGTACAATACAATAGTCATAATCAACGATACATCTATTGTTGCTCACATCAACACTATATAAATGTGATGTAATGTGAAATATATATATAAAAAAAAGTGCCGTCTTTCAACCAAATGCCCCTACAGACCCGACGTGCTTTCAATGTTAGTAAAGACGCGCGATCTATATATATTACGCCGGAAATTAATATCTTACCTTCTTAGATAGGTGATTTTCGTGTATCGATTTATCCACAGGTACATCCATATGTACGTAAAAGTGCATGGTAGCGATGCGTTTGAACATCATGTGCTTGTGAGGGGCACACAATACTGCCATGGTATATAAAAAGATCATTTCAGTTACTAATGTATTGTACATATGTATCTGTTTCACATTGCAGGTATGCACTTGTAGATATCAGTAGACATCCAGGGATACATAGGAAGCTTAAGCTTACCTTGCTGGCCTTGTTGGCTTTTGATGTTCAATGTTGTTCCTACATACGCATACATTAACTGACTAAGATATCCTAGGATTACATATATTGAAACTTTTCTTCTCCCCTGAGTCCTGACGACTACATATACATACATCAATGATATCTCGATTCTCGATACCCGACAAAGTAGACAAACTCAACATCCATCTGCATACTAGGTATATACCTGTACATACATATACGTACTGTAGGTACGGATTGGGGATCCGGCTAGCTCCAACGTAAATTATTTTTGAGTAACTATACCGGCTTGTCGGTATCTTCAGTTTTCTCCTCTCTTGCCTACCTGCCTACTTATATGTACATATCTATACCTGGTTGGTTCAACAACGGCATGCCGGTGAAAGTACGTTCAAGGACATTGTCATCTCATCGGCGACTAATCTCCAAAGTTCCTGGACCTACATCATTGTGCGAGGGAGTTCTGTACATCCCGTTGACTACCTACATGTGGGATTATCTGGGATATTGTCTGTTAGGTATCACGTTTATGATGAATCCAGTAACCTTGAACATGCTAATGCGGAGCTTATCCATGTCGGGTAGCTTTACCCACGCTTTGTGCTACTGTGTGTATCGTTTCAATGTTCTACTACATAATACATGAGTAGAATACCTACATGAGATTAGTTGAGTACTTTTTGTGAATCATCCATAACCACCTCAATAATACTGACCGGCCGAATTCCATAAGTCCTGATTCACTGTTTTATTCCAAAAGTCCGAATCACATCATTCAACTTTGCGGAACTGTGCTCCAACAACCTCAGCTCGAATCCAACTAACAGTGTCGGTTATGTTTCAGTATATGTACGTCTTGATCTATGTAAATAACTACATACCTACATAATACCTTACATATATGTACATACACAGTACTCCGTACATAGTATCTATAGTTACCTAACTACCTGTATTCAGTACATATGTATATAAGGCTGAGCCTCGCCTTGAGTCTTTTCTATGCCTGCCTAAGCTGAATGTGACTCTAACAGGATTTTCAATAATACCTATAAGTTATTAGATATAAATTTAGATATAGAATGGATATTTTGATATAGGCATGAGAATCGAGACTTACATATCCTATGTAGGTAGGTATCCTACACATCCTATATATCGCTCTCTTTCTTCTTCACAAACACTGTGATATTAATCCTTGGATCTTTTAATACTACATAGTATTGCCACACCCGAAGCCTTCAACGTTAGCGACGGATGAACTATCCATGTACATAGTGTATATACCTACCTACATACATACATACATACATACAGAGATACAGAGATACAGAGATACTCTCTTTCTCTGCATCGCGCATCGCATAGCATCGCGCCTTCATTCGTCCATTTGCAACCCCGGCCAGCTGCCTAGGTAGTTGCCCAGCTTGCTCTGAACAGGGCCTTCCCCTGCAACAGCGCCCCCCCGTTCATCATATACCCCTGCCCTTGTCTGCGTCTGGGCTAGTAGAAAAACCCCCCGGTCAACTCTCCTCCCCTGTTCCATCGTTACATAGGACCCTTGGCCTTCTTCGCCTTCTTCGGCCACTTTCCTCGGCGTTGCTGATTACTGTTATTCATCATCATTCGCCATCCGCATCGTCCCCCGTTGCGTTATGGTCGCATTTTGTTACTCTACTGTCCGTCGCTGCGCGCTTTCCGAACTATCTAATCCCTATCCTTATCCTGTCTTCTCTAATCATCTATCATCTATCATCTAATAATCCTAGAATCCTAGAATCCTCATAATCCTAGCAGTCCTTTCCTGGCAATCCTAGGCCGCGGGGCTCTTCTTCTCGATAAACCCGCATCTGGCCTTGTTCAGCACTTGCATACCCGCTCTTGCGTTTGATTTTATTCCGCAATTATACACATGCCGCTATACCTCTTCGCATCTTCGTCTTTTATGACCGTTGCAACGTACAAACGCAACCTTGCTCACCCCATCCAGGTCGTGAACACATACCGTACATATAGTACATACATTACCACATGCTAGAATGCTACATGCTACCTACATACCTACATACATACTACATACATATACTACGTACATGTACGTACATAGATAGGTTCATTATTAGTGTTCCCCAAGAAGAAACGAGCCCGAAACTCAACGCCAGCAACCGACGAAGTTTAGAGCATCCAGCTCTTGCGAACACATTCAAACGCAAAAAGAGATCAGCCCTGATTAAAATCAAAATCAGCCACATTACATACTTACCACCACATACTCGCTAACCATAGTAGTGCTCTCTGGTTGCAAACCGAAAGAGGTGGCCCGGGAAAGGTAAAGCACCATCTGGGCTTGGCTACCCGTTGATCCACCCATCCATCTCTATTTCGCACAGGCTGCCGCCCATCCAGTTGTTATCAACTGCTGCTTGTACAATACATACTGCTGCCATCCGCTGCCACACCACACTCCCCGGATTCTAACTCGCAGCTTGCCCTGTCTGTGCCTATCACTGCAGTTTGTGATGGTCTCAGAGCAATTCAACGGCACCTGAAACCGACAAGCAGAAATACATCACTGTCCAATTATCACGGCAATTTCAATAACGACAAATTCTTGCCCGTGTAATTCTATCGCGTTTGATATATCTGTCTGGATAGACTTGAGGTCTCTGACTAATAAAGCCTCCGACCAAACTAAGAGACCAATCTCTTTCCCCTCCCTCCCCCCCCCTTTTCCTCCCTCCCACCTTGATAAAGTATCACCCAAAGCCTTGCGGACCTATGAAGGGGTTTACAACTTTCTCGGAGCAAAAACGAAACAGCAGCTGAATGAACACATATCCGGTACCAGAACCCGGAACTAGCTCACTACATACATATCTACTAGGCAAGGTTAGCCGGTAGTTAACGAAAAAGAGGGACATATCTGGAGATGAGAAAAGAGAGATAACGAAAATCAGAAGCAGAGTGAGAAGAACAAGAAGGACAAAGGGAGAATATCTAATTTGAGATTCTCTTATTCCTCCGTGCGCAAAATCATCCCTCATTTTGAAGGGAAACAAAACCAAAGGTGGAATTGAAGGGTCAAGGTGCTCTTTTTATTTATTACATTTATTTACCTTTACCTATTATCATTCGTCCACGAGCTCAACGGACGGGTACTGGTCCAGTACGCCCACTTACGCAAAGACGCAATCCCTAGTAGCAGGCAAAAGTACCTTGGTACATTTGCTCACTGCCCAGTTCAAGAACATTGAACTGACTGGGCACTAGCCTGGGAACTAGGGCTGGGCATTAGGTGCACTATCGACCCCCGTCACGGATTTGAAGTACATCATACATGCGCTACATACCCTGCGGTACATACATGCGTACGGGTACACTACATAACGCTACCACCTACATAAGATACATAACATCCACGACTTTACATGTATGGTTGATACGAAGACTTGGAAACTTGGGTTTGCGTTAAATCTACCAACCACATGCGCGAGTAATCCTGCAACCATTGCCCCCCCCCCTCCCCCGTTGTGGAAAGAAGCGTGGAAAGCGTGGAAAGAGTAGAAGCAAGTTCGATGCTCGCATACTTGCTATACTATTACCTTGTCAACCCTTTCCAAGATCTACTACCCTCGTCTCCTTGCGCGCGTCATTCACCCCCTTCCCTACGCCCTTTATTTTTCTAGTCCAACTATATCAAGACACGTCGCTCTGCAGGCACAGCTTTCTCCACGTCTCTTCCGCCGCTTGACGTGCAACATCGCAACGTCGCCCGCCCGAATGTATTCCACCCAGCCTAACGGCGCTGAGGGTGCGACCATCAATCCCGCGACTATCAACCCTGCCGCCCTCAATTCTGGTGAGTCTTTTTGTTGTCGCATTTAATCTTCCAGCCTCTTTTCTATATACTATTTTGCTTCTTAACTAGTAGCCTTCTTTTTATATTCTTGGTTTCTATTTCTAAGCTCTATTTAAACGCCGTGCGCTTTTTTACTTGCCTACCTCATGTCTTTAGCCTTAACCGTTGGCTGTGAGGCTTGAACTTTTTTTTTGGACGCTTGTCCAATCTTCGCGCCTCACTCTCGCACAAGCATACACATACACATACACATACACATACACATAATACACCTGCATACACACACATATATATACATATCTATATATCTATACACACACTCTCTCCCCCTTCCTCTCTTTCTATTGCTACTGCTGATGATCACTACCGTTGTTATCATCGTCATTCATTCGTCACTCTTGTTTCTCACTGATTGGCATAACGCGACTGTGGTTGGATAATCATTGTCGCGATGGCTAATACCTGGCGCATTTTTTCAACACCATCTCCTGCTTAGTTGACCACGCTGTGCTATCTGGTTGTGTCAATCAATTACTAACCAACCAATTATCTGGATGCGCAGAATTATTAAATCATAGCTCTAGAGGTATAAAGCGAAGTCGTTCTCCGGAATCCTATCACGACGCGCCCACGTCCGAGAATCCGGGAGATGACGGTAAGCCGCGGTTTTGTCTTCGTGTACCTGTCTATCATAATGCCGCTGTGCGCATCGTGGTTATGTTACATCATATTGTCGTGCGACAGCCCGCCTGCAAGGAGATACCTGCTAATTTGCTCTTGTCGCATTTATAGGTGATTCTAAACAACCTAGAAAGCGCGGTCGACCGATGAAATCGCGAGCTCTAGGTGACATTCCGGAACCACCCAACCAAGCTTCCATTCCTTCCCGACCCCCTCCTACTCAAATGTCGCAGTCGATACCGCCGCACACCCCCCAGTCCCAGAATGCCGCACTGCCCGGACATGCTGGGAGCTATACTCCGGCCCAGGCATCGCCTCCTCCGAAGACTACACCTACCAAAACTACTTTGAAGGCCTTACCGACTGTGCGCGACCACACTACTGACCAGCTTGGTCCTGGTGGTGACGAATACATACCACGCGAGATCGACGAGTCCGGCGAGAAGAAGGTCATGGGAAATGGTCAACTCTTGGGAGGGCGTGAGTATCGATGTCGAACATTCCTCGTACCGAACCGAGGCGATAAATTGTTCATGCTTGCGACAGAGTGCGCGAGAGTGCTCGGGTATAGAGATTCCTACTTGCTCTTCAATAAGAACCGATCGTTATATAAGATTATTGCGAACCAGATAGAGAAGGATGATCTAGTGGCGCAAGAGATTCTGCCATTCTCGTACAGGTCAAGGCAAATTGCAATTGTCACGGCACGGTCGATGTTCAGGCAATTTGGGAGTAGAGTTATTGTGAACGGACGGCGGGTGCGGGATGATTACTGGGAGCAGAAGGCGAGGAAACAAGGGTTTACGGAGGCTGATCTTGCGGGAGAGAAGAGGCCAGGGGCATCCAAGGCCAGAGAGGTAGCAGCCGAAGCGAATAACAGTGTGCCGCCACTTCCAGGAGGCCCTCACGGTGAGATTGTTTATGCGAACACCCCGCAATTTGGTGGCGCTCCGCAACCTCTTGTTCAACCAGGTATGATGGGACCACCAGGAAGCTCGACCAGAATGCCCATGATAACAGTAGGACCAGATCTAAGCGATACGAGGACTCGAGACTATAGTAACTTCATGAAAGGCGGCCCTCGACAGGAAATTACTGGTCAGCCCTACCAGGACAGGACACAAACCAGTCCCATCGGAGAGATACACCAACAAGCTCACCACGCGGCCGAGTTCAATCGATCTGTCAATCAGCAGCGCGACATGCGGAGCGATTACATGGCCAACTTATGGCGGAGACCCCACGAACAGCCACCTACGTCTCAACCAGTTGCCACCGAGTCCGCCCTGCCAACGACCCGTCCCGGCCAGTCACCTCATACCACCCCTGCTAGCATACAAACATCTAGTATGGTATCGAATCAGAGTCCTCAACAGATGATGATGACCGCGCCGCCTTACTCGCAGACGATTCACTCGCAACAACCGATGAGCCAAACCCCGATGCGAGGCATGCCCCAGCCGTCGTCTCAAAAACAATCGAGGCCATCCAATATCCAGCCCGGCACCTCGAACAACATGTCTCAAGGTACACCGGCGTACAACTATAGCTCTTCAAACCAAATGTGGGGCCCTCCACAGACACCACAAGCGCCTCAACACTATTCTGGATATACGACTCAGTCGCAAGCTTCGCCTCACCCCCAACAGTCACCGGCTCCTCAGTTACGTCACTCCACAGCCACGCCTCAGATGCAGCCGAGCACAATGCAGTACCATGGGATGCAAAGCCTAGGCCAGGGATATCCTAATCCGGGACAGGGTATGTACCCTCCCGAACAAACCCCTAGACAATTTCTGCCTCAAAATCCTGCCCCCGGACCGGCTGTGACCTCAGCCTGGAACAATCCGCAAACGTCGGCTGCCGGGAATTGGTGGGCAAATCAACCTCAGTGAGGCGATAACCATAAAAGAGATCTAGATACATGGGGCAACGCTGATATATAACCCTCAAGCAAAAGGGATACGACAAATTGAATATCGCCGCCCCTATCACTAATAACCAAATCGCGTTGCGCGCGCCAGATCTCTACTTCCGCCTCGGGCCCTCGACTGGCCACCACTTGTCTACATTTCACATCATTGGGATGGATTTTTGCTTTTAGTGTGTTTATGCCTTTGCACATTACACTCGTCTACCTGGTCCGGCAATAGAGGAATCGGAGAATGGTGTCTCATCGCATATTCTTGAGAATCCGTCGGATTCACATTCATTCGGACGATACACGGATTGGTCGGTAGGTTGGACTGTTTTGCGCTTTCCGCTGCATCATGAGACTATGGCCGGCTAGTCATTTTGTCGAACCTCGAATGTCTAGCAGCATTTGCATATACACTTGATACCACCGTGGCTTTTGTCGTTTTTTTACACATCGCTTTTATACTGTCCTTCGCTCAGTTTCAACAGACGGTTACAGGTTTTCTCGCTTTGCTTTTTGCGACACCTCTCATCATCATTGCTCGCAACCCACCTTAAACATTAAGCCATGGGGCACTATGCTATTTTATCATTACCCGATAGAGGAGACCTATAACTCTAGTTATAGTGTGGCTTTGTTATCCTCCATTCTGCGATGCTCATTCTACATGGGGGACGCGCTTCTGGGTTCTATGACATAGCATGGCTCCGTGGACTTGCTGTGATTCGAAGGGGGCAAGCCATTGATATCTTCCAGACTTTTCATTTCGTAACTCGGCTCTCTCTTCGGATTGAGGGCACTCGAGGACTGATCGGCTCTGTCACTGTCGATCCTTTCCCCAGGTTCGAATATTTATGGTTGTCGCATTGCATAAATGGCGAGGGTTTTTGATTTTACTCCTTTTCGGCTTCTTAATTTTTTTTTCTTGGGTATGGGCTTAGGAGGTATTCTACTAGTTTTTGTTCTTACGTTCTCCTTGTCTTTTCTTATCCATTCCCACGTACAGTGCTATGTTACCTTTCATGGGGATATTGGAAGCAGCCTGCTTGTTAGTCAGTCAGCATTGGAGGAGTTTACTCTGTTTCATCACCACTGTTATCGAGTAATTTCACCGTTGGATCTGGATACGCCTGTTGAATTGAACGGGTCTTTCTTTATTTTGGAATCAGGGGCGGCCAGGCTTTTGCTCATTGACTGAGCATGAAGTTGGTTGTTTGTTTACCCATTCTCCATGACTGTTTTACACGAGGTTTTGAAGGGCCGAATTTGCATCATAAGGGATACTGGGGGCTCTTTGACAACCTCGGGCTTGGGTATTTACTCAAGAGGGAGAGGCTTCTACCAATTGTGTTCACACTTTAGTCTAGGCGGAGTTGCGCGAGGGAGGCAATGCATTGAAGCGCAACGAGGTAATACATATCAATACTCCTTGACAACTTACTATACGATCTGTCTTATGTGAACATCAATCACTTGATATGGTCCCTTGGGGTTTCCACAAAGGAAAAAGGAGAAAAAAAAACCAATATAACATGGAATTTGATCGTATTCGATGATCTTCGGATAGGTACCTACCTACCCATGGCACGGATCTTGAGCTGAGCATATGTATCCCCTACCTAAGAGGACGGATGACAACGAACTGCCTGCCTACATTGCATGAACCCAACTGGTGAACCTGACAAGATCAGCAGATACCTATGCCTACGAGGTACCTACTTAGGTAGGTTAGCAGTCCTCGCCCCCCCCCCCCCCCCCCTCTAGCCAACTAACGCCAACATGGATAATGGACGAGGTGACGGATCGAGGATAGCGGTTATTGCCCTTGTTAGTTGTCGCCATCGTCTAGGAGAGAAGAACCACAAAAGGGTTTTGCAAAAAAAAAAAAAAAAAAAAAAAAAAGATTTTGAAGGTCAACGCCACGTTTGGATCCTGCTGCGCGGTTACCTGCTGTCTTGGGTAGGTATGTAGGCAGGTACTTACTTACTTAGGTACTGACTGACCTAACCTACCTAGGTAGATAGGCTACCTGTTTACTTTAGGTACTTAATCCTCCCAATCCTTCCTCCGCACTTTTTGCTGCTTACCTACCTACCTACCTATGTAGTGTACAGTAGGTGCCAAGTTAGGTTTATGTACATACAGTTCCTAGGTAGGGAGAAGACCATTGCCTACTTTGGTACTGTATGTATGTATGTATGTATGTATGTATGTATGTATGTATGTACGGCTCTGTTATTATTACCTACTCAGCCCGCCGCGCGCATGGGAATAGGTCGGTCTAGATTTTGGGTCTCTGTTGGGTTTGTAGGTAGGTGCTGTATGTATGTAAGAAGGAGGAGGAGGAGGAGGAAATGATGGCTTCTGGTTTATACGCGTAATATAGTTAGGTAGGTACTTACTTACGCTTGCATAGGTGGAAGGGAGTAGGGAGGCAGATGGGTACTTACACGAGTGTTGTGCGTGTGGGTATAGGTATGTAGGCGTAAGGTGGATGGGTGGGTGGGTGGGTGGTGAGATGTAGTAGGTAACTAGGTATGGGGAAAGCAGGTAGGTTAGGTGGGTTATAGTTACTGAGGAGAGACTACCCTAGGTATGTAGGTAGGTATACATGCGCCGTGGCTGGTGGTGGTGGCCTGCGCATAGCATACACGCCTACATACCTAGGTAGGTATGACATGTCTATCTGCCTACCTACCTATATACATGACATACCTGCATATCTACACACACACATACATACATACACCAATACTTACCTACATACATACATGTGGCAATATATACGACCTAGATGCATACCTAAATAGTTGGGTATGTACCTATGTCGATATGATCAGTGGGAGGTACATGTACATGTACCTTTGGTTGACACAGGTATGGGGAAAGGTTGGTTGGTAGATATGTATGTATGTACGATATACGATATACGATGTGCGATGGATGTACGGAGTATGTGTGTATGTAGGTAGGTTAGGTAGGTATGTACGCAAAGCACGCACGCACGCAACACGCGCTTCTACCAAGTGTTCGGAACCAACGGCACGGTAACTGTACCTAGTTACCTAGCCAAACCCCAAGTCCAAACCCATGCACGTATGTACATACTACGGGGTAGGTAGCACTACTGCTGCTGCTGGTTGGTATGTAGTGGTAGTGGTGGTGGTGGTGGTGAGGTAGGTACGGTAATAGGTATTATACAATGCCTTCCTTCCCAGGTGGGCAACTGCAATAAGACGGCCCGTATATAACTTACATAGGTAGAACGCCTCTCTGCGTTTTCTGTCTGTCTGCTTACCCATTTTCTCCAGCCACGAAAAGAAATCGAAGGCAATTCACACGTCTCCTTAAATCCGCGTCTTACATTGTAGCTAAGATATTACTTACTACGTATTATTCCCCGTGGGCGGGCGTGCGGGCGGGCGGGTGGACGGCAGGTTCGTAATGGTGTATGTATGTATGTATGGGAGGGGGATCTGACTCAGCCCTACCAGTACCAATGAGAGGGAACCATCTTTGGTGTGGTGGAGTGTAGGGCATGGGCACTTGTGCGCATCTTACTTCCCTACATACATACATACGTACATATATGAGCATAGCGTACATGTATGTGGACATGGTGTACCCATCCATACCCATGCTTGCGGTATCTAGTGTATATGACATATGTAGGTATCTGCGTGCTTTATGTGCATGCGTGTATGGTGTGTGCGTGTGTGTGTGTGTGTGTGTGGCTAGCCTGTCCCGAGAGTTCGATTTGACATGACAGAACTGAGAAGATAGGTATTATGGTTGGCCGGGAAATCTCTCTCACTCTTCCTCTCACTGTCATTATTCTTGGAGAAGGGGAGAGGGGGAAGGGATGGGGCAGGGAAGGGAATATCCTTGCCTGTCTACCCTTCCCGGGTCCGCGATTACGGGATCGGGATCCTTGTGTTTTATTCTTTCTACATTTAGATACGCATTTTTTTTTTTTTTTTTGCCTTTCTTTTTGGGGGTCTTTTGGTTCATAAGATGCCGACTTGGGTAGTAGGTATGTACTCGTAACTCTCTACCTACCTACGACATTACGTATGCCTTCGCTTGCCAAGTCATACGAACAGGCTTTTGGAAGTAGGCTGTGGAGAGGGATAACATTAGTAATTAGGTAGAGAAGAGAAATTAGAAGCATAAGCAGAAAAAGTCCCGGGGGCGGAGGATGGCTCCGAACTATTACCTGTTCTTCGCGTTGGAGCGATAGACGACGGCAGGTAGGTCATGGTCCCAGCAGATAGATACGTGGAGTGCATTGATATCAGATCATGCCATTGCTACCGTACCTATCTATGTATAGGTATACTTCGATCTGCCTTCGGTACTTGGGATCAAGGGATTGTGTATTTCGGTACGATGATGGCTAGGTATGTAGGCCCTCAACACGTGGGTTGGTCGCGACCTGGTTGGATCCCGACCCAGAGAAGACCTACCTACATTGCCTCGCGTATGGTTTCACCGCTTTTTTTTTTGGTTGTCCCCTTCTTTTACCTATTCAAGGTTCTTTCCCTCCCTCCCTCCCTCCTTTTCTCTCAAAAGGGCTTCCTTGGGGGCCGTTTCTTGACAGAAAGGCGATCTAGATGGAACTCGAGATCCGGTGAGTGGTTCGCTACCTAGGCCATTAGGTGCTGGGTTCTGGTGTTAAGATATGTATGTATGTAAGTAAGCTGAGGGATAAGAAGGAGGGGGAGGTGGGAGGGAGGGAGGGAGCCCAAGCTCTCCCGAGTCTGGCTAGCAAATCAGACCTTGCGTGCAAAGACCCGGACCATTCAGGCGGGACTCCGGGCACCACTCCTACCGATTTGTTGCCGTATTACTGGGGCCAGAGAGGTTCCGACTAGGGGGCCCCAAACGTGTGTAGGTGGGTGGGTAGGTAGGTAGACGTGCAGCTTATCCTTCAAGTGGCTTGTGAGCAACAGTCGTTTACTCCCGATCGGTATTTCTCAGCTAGCCTCACAAATAGCCCTTGCTTCTTCTTTTTTTTTCTTTGCAGGATAACTACACTACGCAGGATCTTATTTTAGCTTGATGTTAGTGAGATAGATGGTAGGTGACTTGGATTTAACCCTGCTATAACGAATATATAGAGAAATGGAACGGTCGGCTCATTATTATCACGGCACGGCAAGGTTGTGATCGGTGATGGATGTGTCTTATCTGATGCTTAACTAACATCTTATGAACTACCAGTCAAGATCGAAAGGCAGGGAGTCCCAGATCACAGTCGCACAAGAGCCTTTTGTGAACGCTGTAAGTACCTAGATAAGGCAATGGGACTCAATCGCGAGCAACTAGGTACCCATTTAAGTAGGTAGAGACAGGGCGACACGGTTAATGTCGGGTTTAAACAATCTACTACCTACGAACGAAACTCAGGGTCCCATTTCCCTACCTCAAGATGGAGGGGTGCCATAATTGGATGTTATGCACATCCCTAACCACGGAGACAAATCCGGTCGTATGTATCCAGTGGCTTGGGGTTCAATATCACCGTACAGCCTTCCTCCAATCAGAATTGGAATTGGGCGTATCGTCGATAGCAGAATAACCTTCGCCGTTCTCCTTCGCTTCTGTTGGTTTCACCACCTCGTGTCTTGAAATAGGAGACTGCTCGCCGAAATTTCGTTGTTAGTTGACCTTGGTCTTGATAATCGAGGGAGGGTTAAGATGGCTAGACTTAGAGTCGCCGACTTCTGGTGCCCTAGTCTTTCAAGGTTCCCGGCCGACTGAGTTACGGTAGCCGTATGCTTGTTTGCTGTGGCTCGCTTCTAGATCTTGGGTAGGGCTATAATAGTTAACAAAGAAATCGGTGAAGGCATTTGAGACCCCTTTAATCTCATCTGGGCCTGCTATAGTGTGTCGAAATTGAGTTCGTCGATGTAGCGACGAAAGATGCTCCAGGGGATAATGAGTCTTGCACTTTTCAACGTTGGAAGCATCCTATGTGCTAGTTTTCACATGTCTATCACACTTTCGTACGGTAGTGTTAGTTAGAAAATATGAGCTGTGATAGTCATATAGTATATCTGTTGTCTATAACGATAGTTGCTATATGTACCTGGACACGCTTGTGCAGCCGGTGTGATCTCGCGGACTTCCATGATAGCTAGGTAACTAGGAACTATGAGACATGCTTTCCAACTTGCAGATTCTTTCTTGCTTTGAATGATAACCGCTTGACATGAAAAAGCTGATGTGGCTATGAAAGTTCGATTCTTGCAACCATATTGTCGAGTGATATAGTCACGAAACCCTGTTTTTGTGTGAATGAATACCTAGCTTCGCATCTACGCATAACTAGATGGTGCCTATACGGTTGCAAATTCCCTGTTGGCAATATAGAAAACCATAATAACAGCTCTCCTCTCAAATGTTCCAACTGATAGTGTTATAGAGGTAGATATTATCAGGGGCTAACTCAGGGGCACAATGCTTTGTATGAGTGGGTGACATCGACATGGGCTTGGCGTTTAGGATGCGAGCTCTTTACATAACAATCTTGTTCGTAGCGTTATATGAAGGTCTGTCATGTGGCATATACCTACTAGGTAGACAGATTCCTCGTAGATAGGGTGACTATATTCTTGACTCATCTCCAAGTTTCTGCAGAGTGCCTGACTGATCAGGATTGCACATCTTAATTGCTCAACATGGTCAGTTAACATATCGAGTAGCCACATATATGATATGGTTTCACTATTGAAACAGGCAACAAGAGAAGATATCGACGAAAACAAGATCCCGACTACAATCTAGTAGCCTATGCATGACTTTCTTACAATCTGTTCATTCTTAGTCGATGAACCGTGGTAATGGAATTATAGGACTGTTACGGTTTCCCAGTCTCTCTCTATATAACACTGTAACCTAATAGTTGATGCTTGATAATGAGCTCCGGGTGTGAAGTCGGCTACCAAGTGCCAACGGGTGCTGTCTCAGGGTGACCACCCCCTTTTCCTCCCTCCCATGACCAGTACAACGAACGAACCTCTACGTAGTACCTGTCACTCTGTCAAACGATTGAGAATAGTCCTGGCCCTCGCCTGGCGCTATGCGAAGGTCCAGAGCAGCTTGTACTCAGCCTTCAGAACCGGGTACGAGCCATCCGTAAGTAATAAAGGAGCCAAATAAGAATTCCATGTTAAGTGCTTTGCCCAACGTGCCTATATGATTACAGTAGCTAGGTGTATATTTGGAGACGCGGCTAGTGCAATGGGCAGAGATATCCATGCCCACTGCGCAAAGACGAACGTCTGAGGGTTAGTATATCAGCATAGAATTAGGCCCAGACATCCTCCGGTAAGACATGCTAGTTGAGATGTTGTCGGTAGTACCTTAGATATCAGGGCTGTGGTATAGGTTGGCCTGGATGGCAAAGAACTTAGATCAGGGGGTGAAAGCATGACAGCATTGGGGGAAATGGCGAGTGTCCATGATGAAAGAGGCTGCCACTGTACTTTAGAACGGATCATGGCTATAGAAAGAATGCATAGGGGGCTGAAGATAGAACTGCAGATCTCTATAGCCCATCTTTGACTTGCTTTTTCTTTCCACCTGGGCGACTACCTATTGGATTTCGAGAAAGTGTTCTGTGATACCCTCATGCAAGTTGTAAGATGAGCAAATTTGTTTCACGGTAGCCAGATATATGATTGAAAATATGTGATCTGTTGATACGCCTGTTGAGTTCTCCAGGCATTTTTACACACTACCTAGCTACCTACCAGTACCTAGGTAAGCAGCTAAGCAGAGAAGGCAGTGCTGCGATATAGGTAGAATTGATGCCCAGTATATAGTAGGGATTGAGCAGTAAATCTAGACCTAGGTAGGCAGGTAGGTAGGCACTCATCCATTAGAGACAATACGCCTTCAAAAAGCCCCTATTTTGTGGGGGTAACTCGGTATGTTGTGCAACTTGAAGTCTCATTCAGAATATACAGCTGGCCGTCATCATTGCCTGCGGTACGAAATTGGTCATTCTACACACCTAATAGGCTTGCCTGCTCGTGCTTGCATTACAATGACCCCAAGTCAGCCACATGCAAGTGTAAAATTGTTGGCTGGATTGGGGGATTGGGCCAAGTCAAGTATGAAAGTAACGAACATATCAATATGTGCATCTACCTATTTCTAGCCATAACTTGGAGCATATTGTAAACAAATTTGAATCATGTTCACGAAGCCGTAGCAAAGTGGGTGATGGCTAGGTTAATAGTGTGTGCGGGAAAGGGGCGTCACGTGACTGACTACCATTGAAATATATAGTTGATCACGGGGCATCTGGCAACAACGAGGCAAATCAGGCTAATACGATAGCTGTAGCTAGTTTATTATCTTGGGGATATCCTAGTTGGCAAGATGTAGAATATGGCAGAGGTAGACAAACGTCACAGATGATCAAGCAAGCCAAGAACTAGGTAGTAACTATATTCTCGCAAGCTTGAGAATTTTCAAACGCCAAATTCAAGTTAGTAAATTAGTTAAGACTAATGAAAACCCCTAAATAAATCTTGGTGAAGAGCGTTGAGAGTCGAAACACAGGAGGCTGAGATGGAGTTTCTCCGATGAGATTAGTCGGAGCCGCATTTCTGAATAGCTTCCCAACGATCTGTACCTATGTAGACACATGATCGACGCTGCCAATCAAGCTCAACATATGCTTCCGATTCCGCTCATAGATAGGTACCAATAAGCACGATGCTTTGTTAAGTTTTAACTAAAGCTAGTACATCCGGAGTACCTGAGCAGATAGCCCATCTACCTACTGATACATCTATCTAGGTAGGTACTAGGTAAGTTACGAGAGAGACGCCGTACCCGAAGCTGGACTTACTGGATACTAGGTAGCTAACGATAGCGCTCACTCACCCGGGAGCATATTGCTTTTCATGTACCTAATCTACGCCTCTCACCACGGTCGTCTCTCAGGCACTAAGCATTATCTAGTAGGATCACGAAAGCTAAGTTTCACAGCTGTGTGGTTATCGGTGGATGGTTATTCTATGATTGCGCGGATATCTTAGCAAAAGAAAAGGAAAATATGTCATATCGCTACCTATTGTTGCGATTCTCTAGCATGGCATAGTATGTGGTTTGTGATGCAGCGGGAGCCGTATTACATACAGATGGCTAGGAGTGAGAGTCATGGAAGCCACATTCATAGGTACCTGAATAGTATGTAATCGACGTTTTGGTGCTATTCACAAGATCCCTACGGCGTAATATAAGGTAAATAGAGGTCTCATGGGTACCACATTTATCCATATGAATATATACGATCCAGGGATGCCCCTAGGCTTTGGAATCCCGTATATGGCTTCTTGGATGCTGTAGAATATTGAGCAAGTAGTCAGAATGATTGCATGAAATGACTTCATTACTATCAAAACCAAAGAATGGCACGACTTGCTTGAATGCCTTTCGTTTTCCCCACCTATAACTCCTACCCAGAGCTGCAGAGAAATGTGTATCAATCCCCATCCCGAAACATCGATACCTTTGTGACTGACCACATCACTGTACCATAGCGTCGCCCGACTTCGCATCCTCCCCATCATCGCCCCATAAGCCTTCAAGCTTGAACTCCTTGGCCCATTCTGTCACGATCTCCTTCTGGTCTGGTATCGCGCCTTGGCTAGCTTCGTCGCCCGTACTAGATATCTCGGTTGCGACCGGTAGTACGGGAGCATCAACCCAGCCTTGGATGCGACCGTCTCGCCAATCCGTCACTACTGTCATACCCGCCGCAGTAAGATTCGGCACGCCACCGCGTCCGAGTCTGCCTCGCTTACGCGCTACTTGTACAAGGAAATCCGTCGTGGAATCGCCGCTAAGCGTCGACAATAGTGGGGGAAGATCGTAAACGTCCATCAGCTTCTGGAATAGTTCGGGCGAAGCCGATAAGCGTTTGAGAAGCAATGTGACGGCGGGGATTGGGTCTTCGATTTGCCTTGGCGGTATGGCATTCAGAAGAATGAGGTGAGCATGGGCCTCAACAGCCTTCTTTGCGGCAGACTCGCCCTCTGGCGCTGAGGGGAAGACAATACCGGGGGAGTCGAGAAGAGTCAGTTTGCTATCAATCTTGACAGCGCGAATGCTTGTGGTAACTCCTGCTTCGGCACCTGCGGGACAAGCCGCCGCGCCTCCTCGGCCACCTAATCTCGAAAGAAGCGCATTGATAACAGAAGACTTTCCAACGTTGGGGTATCCGATGACGCCGACTGATATCGCGCGCTTTAGCTGTTTGGAGGCAGCAAAAGACTTCAGAGATTTAAAGAGGGTGGAAGAAGTGCTCTGGACGGTAAGATCGCGATGGTTGAAGGTTTGCGCATTGGGAGCGGATCCAGAAGCGCGTAATGGGAGCGTAGGGAAGTATCGTCGTAGATGAATGAGCCAAGCTTTGAGAACAGGCGGAGGAACCAAGTCAATCTTGTTAAGCACAAGTATTAACCTCTTTCCACCACTTGCGGCAGCCATCACCATTCGCTCGACCTCTCTTGATCTAGTGCCTTCCGGATCTCTCGCATCTAGGACGTAGAGTACAACGTCCGCTTGATCCACCACCTGCTTGAAGACTTTGTCATGCGCCTTCCGCGAGGAACCCTGAACGCGCAGTTCAGCGCCACCTTCGGAATCAGCATCGTCGTCAGATGAATCATCCTCTTCCATCTCATCTCCGCTCTGTAATTCGCGATCATACTTCTCAGCGGCAGCTCTTGCGCTCGCTATAAGTGCCGCCATGGGATTGGTGCTGTCGTCCACATCTGCATCTTCACCCTCGTCCATCGCATCGTCATCGTCCGTAAACCCATCAAAGCCATCTTCTTCTGCGCCGTTCAAAGCTGACTCGTCGTTCTCGGCCTCATTTGTGACAGCGCCCGACTTTGCGGCTTTGGCTAACTCCTTTCGTCGTTGCAATTCCTCTTGCTTCTTTCGTCGGGCTTCTTCAATCTCATGAAGGATCTTCTCCTTGTAAGGAAATAGGTTGGGAATACCGGGATCCTTCTTCAGCTTCGACTTCCATTGTGGGTTCTTCTTTGCTTCCTTTCTGGACTTGCGCTGCTTTGCGGCGGAGGCTTTTTCGATCTTGTGCCGTAAACGGACGGGTGTCCGCTTGGACTTGGCTTCTGTATGATATGGTTAATTATATGATAAATAGGACAATGCTTATTCAGGTCCACATACTCTTTGGTTTTGTGATATGGTTTGCCATCTTGTGTGAAGTTGTATGGCTTTGAATGATGATAAGTTTTCTAATTCAGATTTCTCGAAAATCGATAACGAAAAAGTTTGGAAATTTGGTGGAAAATGTTATTCTGCCATTATTCACCGCCAAAAAGATACTGTAGATACCCCACTATAAAGCCTATCTAGCAACCGATTGGTTAACCCCACCTGGCGATAAGAATAGCCGACCGTGGGACTTGGAACAATCTTAGTGATTTATCGGCATCACGATAGCTTCAATTCCATACTAGTCACCTAAGCAGACCTAGGTGGCCAAATCTTAATTGCGGACTTAAGAAGGCGGAGATTCCTAATTCGGCTTAGCCGCCACGGACCTCTTAGAGCGAATTGGCCAATATAAAGACGCGCTCACTTACACAATACGCAACTGTATATTGCCTCACAGCTTTACGACTATTACTATATCTTACATTGCTCCAGTTCATTATACGAATAATACCTTCATAAAAAATCAAAAAAATAAAACGGTGTGAAGAAAACGAGATCTAATACAATCCAAGATGAGTTATACCACACCTCCGTTCGAGGTCACTTTTAAGGGGCTACTATTCGACATGGACGGCACCATCATCGATTCAACAGCTGCAGTCGTCAAACATTGGCAAACGTGAGTGTTCCCCTGACATCCACGGATAGGCTAGGATGGTCCCGTCTTTCTTCCTAGACAGTGGAAAAAGAGTCGGCCCTATTCATGAAGCCAGCTCATCTAACTAGGGGGTTTACAGCGTCGGAAATGAGATTGGAGTAGACCCGGAGGTGATCCTGCAGACGTCTCACGGCCGGCGGAGCATAGATATGCTTAAAGTTCTCAGTCCAGAAAAGGCGAATTGGGAATGTAAGTTTACACTAGCCCTTATCCTACAGCTCCGTTCCGCTTTCATCAAGGGCGTTCGTTCACTAGGAAACCATGCGCAAGTTGAAAAAAAAAAGGAAAAATCGCTTGCTATCCCTTTACCCCTTAGCCCCTGAGACCTAACCTAACCGTCCCGTCTCCTACCTACCTACCAACCTTACCCCTAAATTATGTTCCACCCCGCAACAATGCCTCTACCCCTTACCTACACAGGTACTTAGCTGACACGAACATATCGCGAAACTCCAGACGTAAGACACATGGAAGGCCTACTGCCCAAACTCCACGGCGACGACGCCGTCGAGATCCCCGGCGCCCGCGCCCTCCTCGACGCGCTCATCGCCGCGTCCGCGCGCTGGACCATCGTCACGTCGGGCACCGTACCGCTCGTGACAGGGTGGCTGGACCGCCTGCAACTGCCGCACCCGCCGCACCTGGTGACGGCGGAGTCCGTGGCCGTCGGCAAGCCGGACCCGGCGTGCTATGTCCTCGGGCGCGAGAAGCTCGGGTTCAGCGGCGCCGATGACAGCGCCGACATCCTCGTGTTAGAGGACAGCCCCGCGGGGATACAGTCCGGCAAGGCGGCCGGCTGCAAGGTGCTGGGCTTGGTCACGAGCCACACCGTCGAGCAGGTGCTGGCCGCCGAGCCCGACTGGATCGTCCGTGATCTGCAGTCCGTGACGATGGTCCGCGGGGGAGACGGCGGCGTGACGTTGCAGATTTCGGATGCCTTGGCGCCTGCTGTGAATGAGAAGTGAGTTCGGGGGACTGAGGAATGGAGGAGTCGATAGACGTTATTAGAAGTAGAAGGAGAGAGACAGGACTGGGAAAACTTAATAGGGCAAGACAAAACAACACGAGATGAGATCCATGAGATGAGATGATATGAGACAGTAAAGCAAACTCTCCAGTGCCTTACCTCCCAAACCTCTCCCTCTACCACTATCCCCCAGGCGACCAAGAAAGCGTCCCTAGAGACAACAACACATCATCAAGGCCACAGAGCGCTCGAGACGCCAAGAACCAATTAATCTCTAATGTCAAGATCTGGCAGCTAGTGTAGGCTGAAAGTATATTGATGAGCAAGCCAGTGTAATTTTCCGGTGCACGAGCTTTCCCTTCATTCGTTCAATCCTTTTCTTTCCTCGGTATCCTCCATTCTCTGCCTGCCTGCCTGCCTGCCTGCCTACCATCCCGCCCCCCCACCCCACTCACTCACTCCCCATTATCCATTACACCCTGCAAAAATCGCAAGAATAGGCGTCCGGCGCTCGGCATCTAGACCAGGATCTCGGGCATCTCAGACAGCCGGGTAAACTATCCGGATGGAAGAGAGGAGAAAAAGGGGGAGTGGGGCGGGGTGTGGGAAAGGTGAAGGAGGCGGCGCGCGCGCCGACGCGTACTTACATACGTACATACATTATGTGCGTCTATTCGGGGAACAACTTAGAAATTAAAGAAAAAGAGGAGGCGCTCAAGTAGGTAGGTACTGTGAGGTAGGTAGGTATGTAGCCAGACAGGTAACGTAACAACAAGCGGGTCGAGAAAAAAAAAGCTTGGAAGCCATCACTCACCCTCGATCGAGGAAAAATAAAAGTGCATCTAACTACCTAGATGCGAAAGGTTATAGAAAATCGCCGAGATCGTACCGTACGACCCAGCTACATAACCTACATGTACCACCTAACTACCTACACACAGAGAAACCTTTTGGTACATCAGCAACCGGGAACCGTAGATGATTATATAAACAAAGCCATTCTACCATGTAGCAAAACGCCAACGACGACACCTAAGTGGCCGAAGCCATAAGATTCGTTGACGCTCGTAATGGGGCTCAATCTACACAGACAAGGAGCTTCCCCCAAAAGCGGCTGGGAAAAGGAAAAACAATGGCGTAACGTACTACCTACCTAACCTACTTTATGTGCCTACAGGGCTGTCCCAAGGAGATGGGTCTGGGACTGGCAAGGGGAAATGGTGGTTCATCTCGGGAGTTTAAAAGAAAAAGAAAAAAGAAAAAGTGCTGCTGCCGCCATCACCGCCATCTCCATCGCCAGCAAGTATGTATGTACCATGTAGGCAAGCAGCAAAGCATGTATGTATGTAAGTAACCTTCAGAAAGAAAAAAAAAGTCTTAAAGAAACGAACGCCTTGGCGCGGTAGATTGCATACAAATGACGATCACCAAGCGACTATCGGGACTTTTGCGGTTTTTGTTTCTTAAATCTTCGGCGGTATGTATGTAGGTGTCTGCTTTGCTTTCTATGGCTTTCTCATCTCCGTATGCTAGGCAGGTACCTAGGTATCTTACCAGTAGACAGGCAGGCAGCCTTGTTGAGCTTAAACTCGTGATACCTTCGTGTAGGTAATGATGGAAACAGTAGCTAGCTACGTATACCTACATGGAAAAGGAGATAGAAAGAGGGGGTGAAATAGCAACTAGGTACCTACCTACAACACGAACACTATAAAAAAAAGCAAGTACCCACGACGGGAGAGAAGCAAGTGTATCTCGATAGGGTTGGTAGCTCGTTCCCTAGCCTGCCCACCTAACCTCCATGTAGGTCAAGCTTTAGATCATAGCTCCCTCTCATCAAGCGGTAGAAACGGGACCCGTCCGGGTTTCCCAAATCTATCTATCTCCCTCATTTTCCCCCTTCGGCAGGATTAGAGAACGATGACGAGCATATACCCGTGCCTCAGATTAGAAAACAGAAAAGAAAAATAAGAATCTTAATCCATGTGAGACACACGCGCATATACACTGTATTGTACAATACAATACCTAACCCGTAGATTAGAGCCCGGCCGACTGGTTGGGTCTCCGTTTGTATGTACATATGTACATAGTATATTTCTCTGCGGTGACCTAGTATTAGTGTAAACCCGTTCTGTCGTTCCTACTAAGACATTGATCTCACACAAGGATCACAAACACGGCATAGGTCTTTGTGTGGAGAAAAAAAGGCTGCTGCAATGGGCGGGTTCTTCCCGCCTTTATTTTCTCTCTTGGGATTTTATTTCTTACCTACCTACCTACCTACCTGCGCCTAGTAACTCACCTAGGTGTGTGTGTGTCATGTGTGCACTGCTATACCATTCGCAGAAAGATCGATGGATAAGAAAATAAAAAAAAGGCGTCCAGAAAGACGCGCAGCACCAAACCCATTTAGGTCTGTGGGGTTTTAACCTATCTCTTACATGCCGACTGATGATGAGTGCCGCCCATCCACATGTGTCGATCTTTATGATAGATAGAAATCCATATATCAGAAATGTCAGAAATGGCATATAGGTAGCCAGGGCGCACGCTGCGCTTGCAGCAAGAACGAACGAGTCCGTTCCCGCCCATTTAATAGGTAGGCAGGTATGTAGGGTGATCGCTCATAGGTTGTCCCGCCGTTTTAGAGGAGGAGGAGGAGGCGGGAACCTAGTAGGCTAGCGAGAACCCCTAGCGAGAAGTGCCACGTAAACGAGAAGCTGGAGATACATATGTAAACCCTGGGCTTCTGCAAGCAAGCAAGCAAGCAAGAGGAAAAAAAAAAAAGGCATGTGAGGAAAACAAAACTGACTGGCGGAAAACTTCCCATACGTCCGTTCCGCCGAGAATTTCCTTCTTGTCCTTTGAAAAAAAAACCAACCTTGTCGTATGGGCCCGAGACTATGCGCGCGTACCTGCTTAAGAGCTAGCCTCCTACTTGAATAGGGCATAGCATAGCAGCTGTATGTAGGTCTAGCAAGAGAAAGCTGAATGCGGTAGTGGTAGCAGCTTGCCGTGGGTCTCAGGTGTGCGAGTCGAGTCGAGAGGAGAGATGGTAATTACACGGCTCTAACCCTAACGCAACACCCTCTCTCTATCTCTCTATCTCTCTCAATCTGCTCCTTGTACGCCGCGGGATCACGAGCTCTTGTGTACAGGACCATCATTCCCAAGGCCATGGATACGGGCTAAACGTTGCGCACCGTTGAACAACAATACCCCGGCTCGGGCGGTCGGTTTTTTTTCTTTTCTTTCTGTAACATGGTATGTACAGGTATGTAGACAAACTGGAGGGACCCACGGAATAGGAGTAAAGTAGCCCACTAGGTAACGCCATGGACTAAGCTGTGCGAGTCCGTAAAGGCCATAAAAGGGAACAAGGACAGCAAGGACCCGATCAGTGACATGCCGTATGTGACCGACCTACGGGACTTTCAAGGAACCTCGGGTTCTCACAGCAGCAGAGGCAGACACAGAGCAGAGCACAGGTCGGTCGCGGATGAACGATCTCCAAGACATGCAGAGATTTCCCTGGGGGATGTGTGAACACAACATCGTCAGTTGCAGAAACTGCCAAGAGATGTGGTCGCCAAGAAAGGATCTTCGCAGTTGTCAATTTGCTTGGTCGCCGACCTGAGTAACCACGCCAGTTGGCGAAAAGCCCGAACGTACAGTGATAGCTGGCGACTGCGCGATCCATGCATGACCTAGGCCTCCAGGCAAAGATCGGCTGGCAAGCGCAAGGCGGGGGCAGGATAGGTACGAAAGGGACGGTGCTATTGACGATTGGTTCCCATCATCGTAGGCTACCTAGACCGTACGGCAAAGGTGGCATAAGTGCGCAGTAGCTTCATATCGTAATCATCAAATAGGACTAGCTACATAAATTCCGATGGCCCCTTTGTGACGGGAAAGCCAAGCTTTTTGCGGAAAAGGGAAAGGGCTGGTGCACGGTTCTCCTGGAGATAGGGTACTATGTAGATGCTGGGAAATCATCAATTGTCGTGATTGGGGATAATATAGGTATGTACATGTATGTACTCTGCTTTGTAGTCTACCTACATATGTAGTAGGAGAGACGATATGCAGGTTAAAGAAAAAAAGTAATCTTCTCAAATTAAGATACCTTTCTTTTAGGAAATCCACAGTGCTCATTCAGAGTGAGAGGAGTGACACAGAGACACTGCCCTACTGCAGGAACGAGGAAACGAGAAGCTAATAAAAGACAGTAAGAAGTAAGAGGTTGAAAAGTGAGGGTACTGTAGGTATAAGAAGATGATTAATTATTAGTTAATTTAAAGTCATAGAAAAAAAGGGGACAATTCAAAGTATACAACTTGGGGGTTTTGTTAGTTAACGTATATATCTTAGGTGGTATTATGTAGAGAAAAGAGCATATGAAGATAAAAGAAGGAACTTCAGAATATTACATACAAGCCAAGGTGTAGCTTGAAGAAAATACCGTATCCTTTTTAGGGTGGATCTCGTTTAACAGTGGATTTGATAGAAATGACATCTCATAGACACCAGATTCGCGCCAAGTCCTAGCGGAGACGTTATCGCAAGGCTCCAGGGCTTCGACATGACTTCATTTCAACCCCGTAGAACAACTTTGCGTCGTTATAATCGGCGCGCTTCTATCAAATTTGGCATGGGTTTAAAGTTGAACGTCAAAGTACCTAACCTAACCTAGGGTGCCTACACGTGTAGAAGTTGATAACCCTGGGTACATATATAGTCGTCACGTCAAGGATCAGAAAAAAAAAAGAAGTTGGGCCACTGCTTCGAAGTTCGGGGGCGGTCCCAAGAACCAAGGGTCCAAAGCAGCCAAGCAGCCTCATTAGCTCCCGCTCTTGAACCAGTTGAACTGATGATGAAATCTCCATTTCCGCACCGCACCTTTGGTAGGTACATACTTTGGGTCTAAAAGTCATGAGCCATCAAAATCATGGTACCATGCACCAGTGCCAGTGTGTGCCAGAGATAACTTTTCAAGACTCCAATTTTTCTCGTCCGCACACCGCCAGTGTAGCGTAGTTAGGTAGTGTAGTGTAGTGTATTTCGACTGTCTAATTGCGGTGTTCATGAGCAAAGAGATCAGCACGTACCATACTTGATTGACTCTTGGAGTTGATCGTAGTATGTACTATGGTAGTAATGGTAGTAGAGTCCAGTGGCCCACCGTTGCTGCAGGCTGCTGCTTGGGCCCGTCAGAAAGAAACCCCACGCTGATTGCAGTAGGCGGCTAAAGCGGAGAGGAGCGTATGATGCTTTGAGTGGTCAGTGGTAGTGAGTGGTGGTAGTGGTAGTGGCTGCTTGCTAATCTCTTTAGACGTACGACCTCAGCTGGTAAAGTCTGTCGCAAAAGACCGACAACGCCTCATTGAACTCCATGTCCCCCACGGTGTTTTTCTTCTTGGTAG